TGCTATTAGGTTGGGGGCCATGGCTATTAGGTTTGTGGCCCTTGCTAATTGGTTGCAGGCCATTGCTATTAGGTTGGAGGCGATCGCTATTGGCTTGGAGGCCATCGCTCTTAGGTTGGAGGCCATTGCTAGTAACGATGGATCTTGATTAGTAAAGGGGGGCTCCCCACCCCCCTCCCTCAAACAAATGAAGGATCCTCTATAATAAAGTACCACCAAAACAAATCTGGGTTCCTGGGAGGATTCCGTGTGTAATTGAGTATTCATGTTCCTTTCTGAAATTCTTTGTCATTAGGTATTCTTTGCAATCCTTTCATACTACTACATAAAGGATTGATTAAGGAATTGATGGCTTTGGGAAGCTGTGAGTTTTGAGGAAGAACTTGAGAAACCTATACTTATCAATACTCTCAGCAAGCCAACCATTGGCTTAGTGGTATTAAGAATTACAATGTCTATTTTTCTTCAGGAAAAAACTTTGCACAATTGATGGCCCTTAAAACAAATTCATTATTGAGGATCACGGGCCTTCCTGGTCTACTACCTTGAAAATTTGTTTAGGAGCAATCTTTACATAACGGATTGATTAGGCAATTGATGGCTTTGGGAAGCTGTCGGTTTTGAAGAAGAACTTCAGAAACCTACACTTATCAATACTCTCAGCAAGCCAACCATTGGCTTAGTGGTATTAAGAATTGCTTTTTTGTCTCAAAGGAAATATAACTATATAACTCTAAATATTTTTCAAATTATACGAAATTAGGATCAAAAAAGAATTAGCATAATAGAGGACCCTTAAAACAAACAGGGTGTCAAGAATTACTATTTTCAAAAATTTAGCATTACAGAGGGCCCTATTACTAATCAGCATCCAACATTAGGTTGGAGGCCATCGCTATTGAACTATATACAGTAGGCTAGACGTCCCAAAGACCTAAGACCTGAAGCGATTGAAGCAGGAAATGGATGCAACGAGCAAAGCAGCGTGGAATCGGCGTCGCATGGCGCCTGCAGGTCGCTTGACCGGGCTCGAAGCAGCTTTTGGCTCCGGAGCACGGTTGCCAGCACCTCGCACAAGAGGAGCAAACGTGAGCAAATTATTTCAACAGCACAGTGTTGTCAAGAAAGAGATGGAAAAAGAATGAAAACAAGCGGGAAAAAAAAACACACACCCTTTATGAAGTTTTCTTCAGGGGTCTTATGGGGTCGCTTTTTCATAATTGTCCTTTTTGACCTTTCTTTGCTGAAAGCGAGAAGAAACCTCTTGGAAATGGACGTCACTCCCCCGAACCCTCAAATATCAAACCTAGAGGAACAACACGGAACAACCATGGTCAAAGCCCGTCATCAACTATTTGGTTTCTCTCGGCCTTCTTTTGATGGGCGCTTGACTTCTCTGCACGGCACTGGGCTAGCTGACTTTGCCTGAGCGATGTGCAATGACACCGGTATAGGATGGTATAAGGTATAAGCATCAAAGCCTAGGTGTGCATTGAGCCATGTCAAGCCAAGTAGCATGTGGACTAACTCCTGGGCGTAGCTTCGGTTCACTACCTGCTGGCTTAACACCATGCGGGGGCACAAAGTGTGAGGAATGAAATCGGATTGTTTCTTAAAAGCACATTAGTTTCGCCCAACATGAACTCTGATCCCAGGGATTGTGACACTGAGTATGACCTGTTTCACGTTTCACTCCACCGCGTCTTTCACATCTCACATCGCTACTAGGAGCAAAGGGCATCGCTACTAGGAGCAGGGACGCTACTAGGGGCTCCTGGCCTTACTACTAGGACGCTACTAGTAGCTCGTGGCATTACGTAACAAGGGCATCGCTGTGCATGACGTGTCGCCTTTCGGATCTTTGGCTCCATCCCAGGACCGGCCACGATCTGCAGCCTTCGGTACAGCGAGGCCTCACACCACATCAGCACCACCAAGTGCATCGCCACTAGTTACTAGTAACTAGTAAAAAGATGTAACAAGTGCATTACTGGTAACAAGAAGTTTCTAGTAACAAGGTGCCTTACTAGTAACACTTCAAGTTCGTTCACTTGGACTTGAACAAAGACATGACTGGCACCTGTGGCGTTCTGCTGCCGCCCAGGTCGTGGCGCGGAGGCTGGGTTCAGCCCAGGCGCATCAAAGGAAAAGCCTTTCTGCCTGGCACCTAAAAAGCAGAAATAACATCAAATCAGGTCTCGGAATCGTGTGTTCAACCACCATATGGACCACACACATATACACATATATATATATATTTATATATATATATGTGATTATGTCTATCAAGAGCGGCAGAGAGAGAGAGAGAGAACAAAATAATACAACATATAATTGAGATAGTTGAGTCACTGTGTCAACTAATTATATAGATTGGGGCCTTGCTCTACGGCATTGAGGAACCTGTCCGTCCGGCACATTTCCAGACCTTCTGCCAGTCGCCTCTAACTCTATCTTGTACTGTATTGTGTACAGTATAAATTTGTTGTTTTAATGCAGTAGCTGAGTGCAACGACGTCACATTGCAAACAATAGAATGAAGTAGACTTGCAGTTGTTTTGCAGCTAAGGCTTGCACCTGCATTCTGCGGTTCGTTGCCAGTGCAGCGTCTCTTTTCAGGGCTCTGGCTCATGGCTTGGTGAGCTTTGCATGTCAACACAGGCTTGTCTTGGCTCCGTCGCTCAAGTTTGTGGTGATGCTTCACATCTTCACATCTCGACAACTTGCGAGCGAATGAATGTCTGCAATCGCTGGCGGCTGTGGTAAATGGTCGAGTCATACTCCTGCATGTGTACTCGTCTTTGCCCACTGTTTGAGCCGCTGCTGAAGAAGGACTGAATGCGCACTGTGGATTCAGAAGAAAAGCACTGGTCCAGTCTGATGCAAATGAACAATTCAAAGGTCCCACCTCTGGGAGAGGCAGCTCCATTTCAAGCCTGGTGGCCTCAGGGTGTTCAGGGCATCCAACAATGTCAAGCCTGGACAAAGTGCACGACATCCTGCAAGCACCACAGCTGCCATAGCATGACGCTGGGCATATTCAGGCTCAAACATCTTCACGAAGGAGCACCTGTGCCAATCGCTGGCGGGTGTGGTGGTTGAAACGATTACGGACGTCTCCAAGTGCTGCACCAATCGGGCAGCATGCAGGAAAATCCGTGGCATCCTCACTCTCTGAGCGCGTCTGCATGCATGCATAGATATTTATTTATGTGTTTGCACAGGTTCCTTTAGCCTTTGCTGTCTTTGCCAAGCGGGGCCAAGGGCAGGGCCAGGTTGGCTCACTGCCTCCGTATGTCACATCACCCACCAAAGGATATCCTGCCACCAGTGGAAGCAATCTTAAAGAGCAAAGAAGAGAAACAAAATCATAAAGGGCCCTTATATTCGTAACTAGTTAACTTCCAGTGATCCCCACCCGAGAGGGGGGTGGCGAAAGATAGGCAATAAACAACGCTGGGGCTCTTTAGGCAGGCCGGGAATCGCAACATGCCATGGCCAAGGGAAAAGGCAAGTGCCAACAGCGCCCCCCCCAACACGACCCCAACACAGCCAACACCCCAGCAACCGCCGCAGCAGCAGCAGCAGCAACAGCCACAACAACAATAACTGTAACCAGCAGCGGCAGCGGCAGCAAGCAGAAGCTACCAAGCAGCAGCAGGAGCAGCAACAGCTACCAAGCAACAGCAGCAGCAGCTACCAAGCAGCAGCAGCAGCAGCAGCAACCAAGCAACAGCAGCATCAGCTACCAAGCAGCAGCCGCAGTAGCAGCAGCAGCAGCAGCAGCTACCAAGCAGCAGCAGCATCAGCAGCAGCTACCAAGCAGCAGCAGCATCAGCAGGAGCCACCAAGCAGCAGCAGCATCAGCAGCAGCTACCAAGCAGCAGTACCAGCAGCAGCAGCAGCAGCCAAGCAGCAGCAGCAGCAGCAGCCAAGCAGCAGCCAAGCAGAGCCAAGCAGCAGCCAAGCAGCAGCCAAGCAGCAGCAGCAGCAGCAGCAGCCAAAGCAGCCAAGCAGCAGCAGCAAAGCAGCAGCAAAGGCAGCAGCAGCAGCAGCAAAGGCAGCAGCAGCAGCAAAGGCAGCAGCAAAGCAGCAGCAGCAAAGGCAGCAGCAGCAGCAGTGTTGCGTTGCAACAAGTGCAGCAACCCTGAACCGCATGAATGGCATCAACCGTACCATGACACGAGTTGGGGCAGCGTGACAATAGTATAGTTAATATAAGATGCACAAAGGGAAAACTCAACCACTGCCATGCTTCCACCAAACATCACCAAACTCTTCATCACCCGCTTCCCCCACCGAACTCTTCGCTCATGCCCCAACACGTCAGCAGCAACCAGCAAGCAGCCAAAGGCAATCAGCAGCACCAAGCATGCAAGCAGCAAGAGATCAAGCAGCAGCAGGTACTGAGGAGAAGGGTGAAGTTGAACCCGCGGGGGGGGGGTTAAAGCCGGATAAATCAGGTATCTGCACTCAGGTCCTCGGCTCCCACCCTCCTTGCTAAAGCAAGACAGACTCCAGCTAGCTACAGCTAGCTTTCGTGATTATGTTCTGATTCTGGCGCTTGTTCTGACATCAAATCTGGCTTGTGCCCTGGCACGTCATCTATCACAAAGGCTGGGAAACGTTCTCGGCTGCGCTCTGACATCTTTGTTGGCGTGTGTTCTGACATTTTTCTTGTCTGACATGTGCTGTGGCACATGGACCAACTGCAGCCGTGGTATGTGCTCTGACATGTATTCTGGTATTTGTTCTGCCATCAAAGATATTTGGGCACTCTACTTGGCATAGAAACAGGCATTGAACTGGCAATTGCTTTGCATTAACTCTATCTGACAAAACTGCCGGCATCTATCTACCATAATTGCTTGCGCTTGATATGCAATCATTGTTGGCATTCTATCTGGCGTGCGTTTTGGCATAATTTTAGATTAGCAATGATTAGCATTAGGCAGGTCAGCCTCAATTATAGCATTCATTTTTTCACAAGATCCAGGTCAAGTTTGACGTAGAATTCGTCAAAAAACAACAATTTGCACAAATTCACAATCCAGATCCATAGTTCTGGCGCTCAGTCGCCAATTTTCTGACATTCTATTCTGACATTCTATCTGGCGAGGTCCGGCAGTGCCCACTGCGATCATGCACTTGCGATCTGGAGCTGGCAGTTGAGGTGCGGTAGTCAGGGAGAGGGAGAGGGAGAGAGAGAGGGAGAGGGAGAGGGAGAGGGAGAGGGAGCAGGAGCAGGAGCAGGAGAGGAGAGGAGAAGAGCTCTGATAAAATCTAACAACCCTCACCTGGCAGGTGGGGAATTAAATACTGTAGGTCAAATAGGTACCCTTTAAAGGGGCCTTAGCCCTAGCTTACTGTCCTGCATGGCTTAGGTGAACTCGAATCTGATGCATGCGGCCTGTGTAAATGCGAACCTGCAGGTTCATCGAGAGTGTACGGATAGATCGGATGGTGGACACTAGTGCACTCTTGAAAACTCTATAGAGCGAAGTTAATTACAGTAACCCCAGTTTGACTTTGCATGTTGTGTCTTAATTTGACTTATCTGCCTTCACAAGGCTCATAGGCTCACCTCAGCGTTCACATGTAGACTGCTGTCATCTCCAGCTACTCTTGCCATCGCTTCACACGTTCCAGGTCAGTTTCGCACCACTCGCACCCATCACATGTGCCTCCGGAGCGAGAGCTGCAAGCTTCAAGACATATCTCTGAACATACTTGTATCATTTTAGTCATTTTAGCAAACAAGCATTTTACATCATTGTACACCACCACAACAACAACAACAATGGATGTGCGCAAACCACAAACCACCATTATCTTTTTTCGGTTGATGAAAATCTTTCACGTCTGAGCACCTGACGACATGCAGGATCTCAGTTCGTGCTCGACGCCCTGTGGCAGAGACTTCACTGGTGCGAGGTCCAGCACCAGGTTCCTGTTCCATCCGCTGACATAAGTAGCAACAAAGTCCCCCACAAGCAACAAGAATGTGCACACCATACAGAACATCACAGGCAGAATCTTGCAAATTTGCCGGGCCAATCAGAGTGCTGGACCTTGGAGAAACCGTCTCTGTGGTGGGGCCTCTAGTGGAATCCTCCGAATCGCCCCGGTGAGCAGCCGCGGTCCACGTCGTAGCCACCCTCAGGAGTCACAAAGTCTCGCATCGCCTGGCCTGTAGATGCCTTCTTGCATTGTCTTAGCTTTCCGCCATCACATAAGCAAATGTATTCCTGAAATATACTGATCATAAGCTCTTCGCTTCACTCTTCGAAGATCATCTAAAGAGTTCTCAACTCCAAATCCAGTCACTAGTCCTTCTGCACCCTCTCCGTTGCGAAGGCCAGCCGAAGGGAGAAGTAGCTGAGAGCAACGGTCGGAAAAAGCCCGGGCTCCATTCACGTGCCTCTTACAGTTTGTTCAAAAGCCTGCAGCTACCCCAGCGCCTGCTGTAGGTTGATGCCCACATCACCATGCCCGACCTGTATAAGCCGGCCCAAGCACAACCCTGGCCTTTTTAAAATTTTACAGCACCAGGCTTATTGCAGCGTCTAAATCGCTACCTCCAAACAATTCCTGGTCAGGCCCTCGCGAAACAATCGACTTCCTTTGAAACTGCTTTGCCACTCTAGGGTGAAGAACCGACTTGACTCCACGATCCAAGCGCTTTGAAGCCCCCGGCGTGTCACGGTCCAAACGGTGCACCAGGCCGTGGGAGGCCACCGAGTCATAAGCCTCAGCCAAAGTCGCTAGTTGCACGACGGAATTGCCACCTACCGGCAACTAGCAAACAGCGCACCTCATGCGCACCCTTTTGACCGCGCTGGTCATGAAGTCTCGAGCCCTCCCTTCGACTGCGGACCATGATTGGATGAGGTTGGGTTACCATGGTTGTTGCATGGGTCTTCAATGATCGCATCCCCCATACTTCTCCAATCATGATCCTCAGGCCAGGGCCAGCGGTGCTTTACCGCAAGAAGGTGAACCTGGTTGACGAACTGCTTCGTCATCTCCTCCTGCAACTGTCGCTTCCGCATATTGCGGCCTGACACGAACATAGGGTCGTGCACCAAGGTCCACCATTGGCCTCCGGCCAGGAACTGCATCATCATCTTCTTTGCCACTCCCCCCTTGGTGAGGGGGTCTGCCAGCTGTCGGTCACCATTGACCCATCTCAGATTCGTCTGAATCTGCATGGACTGAGCAACTGCCAGGGCCAATTCGTAACCAGACCTTCCGGAACGCAGACCATGGAGGGAGCTGACATTCCTTGTCACGGCGTCGTAAATCCCACGGGAGTCCATGATGAGGGCTCCCTGGGTCTTCTCTCGTACCATCTGGTACAAGTTCTTTCGATCCACCACCTCTCCGCTCAGGCGGAAACAAAGGTCTTCCCCCTCCGTGATGGCCTGGACCTCTGCCCCGTTGCTTCCAAGGACTTGCCGCGGGGTCTTCTGAGAGCGCCAGGTGATCAAGGCCACCTGCTGCGAAGTTCCATCCAGTATGGACTTCGGAGCACAGCCGCCCACGATGCCCATCGTAGAGCTCTTGTCCGGTCGATTCGAGTTCGACGCATCGGACCAAACAACTATGCTCAAATCATGCCAAGGCACATTCCAGTGAGGGAACACCAGGGTCTGTGGCACCATGCGCACTTCTCGAACCAGTTTGTTCGTACGAAGCAAGGTGTCCACCGTGGCATAGGGCACTTCTGACAGCAGCAGGCCGACATCTGCGGAGCCGTCTGGGAGGCTTGCCATGAGAGCGAACCGATCACTCCCCTGAGTTGGCTGATCTCCAAGGAGGCTGCCACTGCCTTCCGGTTCTTTGCTCTCTCCTTGTCCACCTCAATCTCGTCCACCCAGTTCTCAGCATAGTCCGACTGACCGATGTGGATCTCCTTGTCGTTCTGGGTGATCTGACATCCAGCAAACGTGAATTGTTTCTCTTCCCATCGGCCCCATCGGTAGGATTGCTCCAGCTTGGTCTTGGCCTCATCGAACACTGCATTGCCGTCGCATCCGGCCAGAAGAAAGTCATCAACGTGGACTCCAATCATTCCAACCACCTGTGGGCCATCCTTCAGGATGAAGATGCATCCATCGGAGACTAACTTCGTCCACCCTTGCTTGGCCAATGTGCCGGCGACCTCGTCGTACCATGCCCTCGGAGCATGGACTAGGCCGTAGAATGCCTTGACCACTTTGAGAGGTAGCACAGGATTTGCCGGATCAGCTCCATACAAAACTGCCAGCTCCGGTGGTGCCCAAACAACCAGGTCCTCGTTCTCCAGCGACTTCTTAGCTTGAAGAAAGGCTGACGCGACGTCACCTGAACGGAGCTTGTATCCATAGTTGGCTGCAAGGCAAAGGAGCATGTTGCGAGATACCCGGCTCATAGTTGGTGCTGCCGCTTGTACCTGAGTCAGGTTCGGCTGTTGGAAGCCAAGTACCACAAGGCGAGCCTTGGCGATTGAGCCTTCTGGTGTAGGCTTGGTAGTGAGCACCCATCGCATCTGCATCACTCTCTTCTTGTCCAGGTGCTTCCACTCGGTGTTTGTCAATGACCGTAGGGCCTTGGACTGGAGGACATTGGATAGCTCTTTTGCCTGGGCCATGTCAAAGTCTTGCTTCCGGTCCAGTGAGAGCTCCTGCCACGAATGCTCTTTTCCCTTCTCCTGCATCTTCTTTGACAGGTAGACACTGGCTTTGCGAGGATGCCTCATGAGGAAAACTGACTCTTCCTCTGTGACCTCAATCTCAAGGGCATAGAAGTTCCCCTGCTCACCATCACCCTCAGAGGCTTTCCTCTTCGCCACTCGGGATCTCCTTGGTTCTTCAATCTTCCTTCTCTTCTCGTCTGCCTCGGTTCTGAGCTCTTCGGAAGATGATGACGAGGAGTCAGAAGTTGAGCTCGATGACTCTTGATCTTGCTGGTCATCCTCAAGGTCCAGTCTTCCGCTGTTCGAGGACCAAGCGAATTTCTTCCCGCCATCATCCTGATGAGGTCCATGATGTCCTCCGGGAAGGTTGCATTGAGGAGCGGTGCACTGAGTTCCGCTCGAAGATTGGGCCGCTTGTTCGGCCGTGCCAGTGACATAGGTGGAATCGGCTTTCCTTCAGCTTCCATTGCCTGGGTTCTTGGCGTCATTGTTGAGGCAACCATCTTCTTCTGTTCTTCGCCGGGTCCCCCAATCTTCTCTTCTTCACCTGGAGCTTGGGAGACATCATCTTTCTTCTTGATTGTCTTCTTCGCCGGAATCTTCCCCGGCTTCGTCTCCCTTTTGTCTGGAGGCTTCTTCTTCTCCTTTCGTTCGTCACTCTTCTGCTTGGAGGGATCATGTAGTAGACGAACATCAGTCGGGGCGAAGTCACGCATCATCTGCTCAGATGTTGGGTTCTCCCCCGTGACATTGGTGTAGTGCTTTCCTGTGAAGTTCTTCAGAAGGCTGTCCATCGTCACGGCTTGGCGATATATTGCAACTCCCTGCAAAGTTGCTTGGAGCTCTTCTCGTCGCGTGCACTCGCGACACTGGTTGGTCTTGGCCCGGATGAGCGTTGCCCCATGCGCCAACCATAGTGTGCTCCCTTCTTGTAGTAGGACTCGTACAGGACCAATCCAGTGACCTGTTGTCTTGCCCGGCTTGATCCTCTGTCTCCACAGCATCGCCAGGGATCCAACTTTGACGGATTGAGGCGACCTTCCAAGAGCATTGTTGAGGCGAGACAGCTTGTATTTGGCATGCTCTTGTTCGAAAGCTATCCTTGCCTTCTCTTTGAGCCTCAGTTGTCCTCCAAAAGCTTTCTTGGGATCCAGTCCTGATGGGAGCTCTTCCTGAGGTGGTGCACCTCCACGAACCCATTGGAAGGGTGAGAAACCACTTGGTCCAATGGTGTGGTTGGCGCCATGTGCTGCTAGAGCGAAGGCATGAGCAATGGTCAACTCGGGCTCCTCCTTGAGTAGTCGCCTCACTGAAGACTTCAGGATGTTGATGCATCCCTCCTCAGCTCCCATGATCCAGTGCGCTTCAGCCGGCGCAGTCATCACTCCGATGCCTGACCGAGAGCAGAAATCTAAGAAGGTCTCTGACGTAAATTGTGGTCCAGCATCACTGATGATCCAGGATGGACTCGGGTTCGTCATCAACCACTTCATGAAGCTGTTGACCACGTCTTGGGCCGTTGGTTCCCATCTGCTCTTGTACGTCTGGAGGTGGTCAGTCATCACGAAGCCGCTCGCTCGATCTCTCCAGATCAGGAACTTGTCCTTCTCCTTGTCCTCGCCCCGGTCATACTCGAAAACGTCCACCCCGACAATCTCGAATAGCTTAGGAGTGTCCGTTGTGGACGCCGGTGGATGCAGCAGAGGCTTCCGAGATTCGATGCAATCTGGACACTGGAGATTTCCGGCTAGTGTCACTGCCCATTCAGGTGCCTTCCTTGCTCGTAGCAAGCGCTGCAAATTCCCGAATGAAGAATGCCCCGAGGATCGATGTATCCTCATCATCTGCTGCTTCACCAGTTCGAGTTTTCTTCCTGAGGGCGCTTCTTTTGGGAACTGATTCCTCGAGAGAGCGAACATCTCGGGCTCTTCCTTTCTCACCATCATCACATTCTTCTCCTCCTTGTCTTCGAAGGTCTCTGGAATCTCCACGAGGTAGGTCTCGATGTCCTTGGTGATGGAGGTGTCAGCCCGTTCCTCACTCGCATTCCAGGATCCCACTATCGCCTTTGTCACGGCCGTCACCACCTTCGATGGGTAGTATGCTGAGGCCTGAGCTGCCGGTCCACGGCATTCTGCGTGGTCTCCATGGCCAGGACATTTCTTCTGAAGGCTCATCCACAAACTCCGATTGGAGGTCAGAACTGTCCAGTTCTTTTGAATTGGGATGCCCTTGTACTCCAAACCATAAGCGCAGCCATGGAATCGACACCAGTAAACTGGTCTTCCAAGCTTCTTCATCACCCTCAGCAGGCGTCTGATCGCCTTAGAGTTCCACCCTTTTGAAGCTCCTGTGGGCCATTCCCAAGCAAAATCGGAGTCTCCTCTTGTCTCCAAGCTCAGCTCCACCGCCTCGGCTACCTCATCAGCTCTCTTCAAATCTTGTCCTTGCCGCCTTTCGAACTTGCCCCACTCTTCCTCAGATCTTGGAGTGAGGTTCTGAAGTGTTGACAGCCTGGTGCATGGAAGAGAAATCCAGCTCATCCGTGGAGGATGTGTCTGGAACTCCAGGCTCAGCATCTTCGTGCCCATCTTGCGGTCAAGGTCGTAGCCGCTGAGGTAGTTATACCTTTTGCAATGATAACCCATCTCCTCCATCCTCGAGGTCAATGCCGAGGTCGGAGAACATGCCACTTCCACAAAATCGGGGGCTTGAGAGAGATGCCCCATGAGCCCTTGGACCGGACAGGTCGCACAGGCTCCCAAGACAGCGACCCCGGTGGCGATCTTCTTGGCCAAGCCAGGCCATACGATGTTCTTCTTGGATTGGGTCTTGTCGTCTGCCTTGATCGAATTGATGCCATGCCGATGAACTTGGGCATGAGCTATGGCCTCCTCACAGGTGCCATGTCGTGTGACCATCATAGGTTTCCCATCATCAAATGGATAGGGCCCCGACGAAGCGTCCGTGTCGTGGTTCGTAGTGCTCGTGGTGCTCGTGGTGGTATTGTCGTATGCCGCCATTGCCTCGGGGGCGACTCCCTTCTCACATGCCTTCCGGCTTCTCTCCATTGTCCTCCTCAGGACCCAGATCCGGTCCCATAGCCCTCCTTGCCGTCCTCCTTCTTCTCGACTGCTTCCTTCTTGGTCTGGATCGGCAGGGCTGATGGTGAGCCCGGCACCGTCTCCTTCTCGCTGTCGCTGGGGATCGTGATCACTCCACTGCCCAGAGCCTGACGGGCCTCCTCCGCCATCTGGCCAATGCGATGCTGCTCCTGGTTGGCTCGTCGTGCCTCTTGTCCCAGCAGTTCGGTCCTGGGCATTGCCTCTGTGGCCAGCTCCTCGGCTCTCTCCGCTCGACGCCTCAGCTCGTAGTTCTCCGCCTCCAGGTAGGCTCGGGTCTCCACTGCATCCATCTCCTTTGGATTTGATGACGTTGCCATTGACTTGGCCGCCGCCTTTGCAGTGATCCTCGCCGAGTGCTCCTGAGTGATCTGGGTGACCGACTTGCCATCTGCTCGACCATGTTGCTCGATCCTCTTCATGTAGTCCGTGTAGGTCATGTTGATGGCCATGGTCTGACTCACCCCCAGCTGCAGCATCTTTCCTTTGATCTCCATCAGCTTCCCATTGACCATCTGCTCGGTGCAATGGTCGGGTGGTACTGTCTGCTGCAACTCCTCCAGCGCGAGCCGAATGAGATGTGGCTCTGGCCCCATCGATCGTCTCTCTCCATGGCTCTTGTCCTTGGACATGTAGAGCGTCCGCAGTCCGCACTTGGCGCAACTCACCCATGTGGCGAACTGGTTCGTTCGCTGGCGGCCCTCCTTGTGGTCCCCAAAGCAGGGATAGCCAGAGTGCCTTGGATCGTCGCATGCCGTTGGTGCCCGGGTGGTCATGTCCAAGCGTGCGGTGAACCTGCAAATCACGAAGCCTTTGGGCCAGACACTGCAAACGGCTTGTGACATCCAGGGACTGCTCACATGATCCAACAGGCAAATGCTCCGAACTTTCAGTTGACATCATCAACACTTGAGACTCCAATCGATCGGTCTCCGAGATTGAGATCGGCGCCTCCTGGGTTGAAGTCCGCTCCATGGCATAGATTGGAGCCTCAGCCAAATCAATCGTGAGATTTCCTGACTGTAGGGCTTGCATCTGCACTGAACGACTTGTCTGTTGTGCCTGTACTGTATCAATGTCACCATCATGAAACTTGATTCGACCATCTTGATATGACAGAACTGCATGTTTGCCACGAAGTGTTCTTGCTCCAATGAGTGGCGGTGTTGCTTTGGCCATTCCTCCCAACACATAGAATGAGATGGCTCCCAATGAGGTCCCAACCAAGTCTGCTCTGCTGACTGCCTGATCGCGGTGTCCGTTGCCAAATCTGAAGGTTGGTAAATCCTCTTTGCAAACTGTGTATTGGAAATGACCATGAACCACCAAGTCATGCAGTGCGTCAATCCCGATCGCGTTCTCAGTCGCCCCAGTGTCCAAAATCGCCCTGGTTGGTGCTCGACCATGTGAGGTGTGTTCATCCCACTGTGCCGACACTCCCGGCAAGAAATAGGTCTTGCCCTTGGACGACTTGGAACCTTTCCCGGAGAAACCCTTGCCATAGCCCTTTCCTTTGAAGCTGCTCTTCCCTTTTGCACCTTTGCCAACTCCAAATGATTTGCCCTTTGGTGCAAATCTGTCCGGACACTGTTGATAGCCGTGTCCTGACATTCCGCAGATGAAGCATGGTCCATGATGGGTCTTCGATCCACCCTTGGACGATGGTGAACTCGGCTTCGATCCTGTCTTCGCCTTCCCCTTGCCAGAGCTCGACTCAGGAGCGTAATACCCCCGAGCCAACCGCACTTTGCGGACTGCCTCACGGGCTTCCTTGAGGGTTCGGTTCGCCTCGTTGGCAATGGCGAAGGCCTCTGACAACTGTGCTTCCTCCGGATCAGCTGATGTCTCATCAGGATACAGGTCTTCGTCTTCAACGTACCATGCGTCCTGCCACCAGTCCTCGATCCAGTCTTCGCCAGTCCAGTACGTCGGACTGCCATCATCATCTTGATGCCATTCGCTCCAAGCCCAGTCTGACCACCAGAGATCGTCCGACGGTCCTTCAATGTCATCTTCATCATACCAATCCTGTCCAACAAAACTGTCAGTCCACCAAATCCGCTTTGCTCCAACTTGCTGTCTCTCCGAGGTCTCGTCATTGTAGAGTGTCCTCAAAGCTCTTCTCACAAGATGGAAGCTGGTGGAGTTGGCTGTTTGTACCAAAACGTTCTGTCGCTCATGGCCGCTCAAACGACATGCCCGCAACAATCTGTAATCTCTCAACTCATCTTCAAAGAAATCTCCTGATGCAGTCGTCGTTGTCGAATGGATTGGGCCAGCTGAGGGAAATGTTTGGGTTCCCAAATCACGTCCCCTCTCTTCTCCAGCTCGATTCCCTGACATTGGGCTCCTCGATGGCGTTGACGGTGGATCAACACGAACAGCAGGTCGGGTTGGAAGAAAATCCTGTCCCGGTGACATCCTGTCCAGCCTTGCTCTAGCCAATGACTGTTGGAGTTCTGTAAACAATTCTTCCTCCCGGACTATCAGTTCGGCCACCGTTTCGCGATCTGTTCGCTTGAGATTGCTCCACTTGTCCAGCCTATTGAAACTGTCTGGAACTGGTAGACGTTGAAGTGGGCTCTCACGGAGCAGTGCCAAAAACTGATTTAACCCATCCTCATGATCAAACTGTTCGGGATCAGCATATCGAACTATCGACTTCGCAGCACCTGACAGCTTTCCCCAGAGTCGGGCCACCACCAGTCTCTCTCACTCTCCTTGGTGCCCTTCGAATACCATTTGCAGGCTGTGACGTACGATTCGAACGTTCCAGGAGAACCATCCCAGCTCGGAACAGGATCGCGGTCCTCTGGCATCGGTTGCCGGGGTATTATTGAGCCCCCCGGCCCGGCCCCGCTACCATGCACGACGGAATTGCCACCTACCGGCAACTAGCAAACAGCGCACCTCATGCGCACCCTTTTGACCGCGCTGGTCATGAAGTCTCGAGCCCTCCCTTCGACTGCGGACCATGATTGGATGAGGTTGGGTTACCATGGTTGTTGCATGGGTCTTCAATGATCGCACTAGTAGCTTCTTGTTACTAGAAGTAAGAATGCTCCTAGTAGCGATGCCAGGAGCTCCTAGTAGCGTCCTTGCTCCTAGTAGTAAGGCCAGGAGCCCCTAGTAGCTTCTTGTTACTGGTGCAACATCTGAGAGGCCTGAATTGTATCTACTCGGCTTCGGGCAATGGGGACAAACTTGCCAAAGCAACGGGTTAGCCAATCCTGGAGGAAAGTGCTTGAATGAGCAGCACCACGGTGACTACGGTAAGTGCTTCCACCCAAACTGGAAAGCCGCCTGTAGCTGTGGACCTGAGCTGTACCTCAGCTTTAGGCCCGGCAGCGATATGTGCAAAAAGAACATTTTCCAGGGGTTTTCTGAGTCTCTGGGACGTGCACGTTGCTTGATCTTCTTCGCCATCTGTCACTGTCACCTAGCCCCCGCCAAAAATGCTTCAGGCACTACAAGTCAACAAAAAGCGCAGTCAGTGAACAAGTAGCATACAAAAATAAAATATTTACTGTAGTCTTGGTCATGTACACCTCCCATTCAATAGTCTTTGGGTGTTTCACGTGTTAAAATTGTTATATATTATATATATATGTATATATATATATATTACATCATTGATTCATTCATATGTACATCTCGAACATGTGGAGGTTGACATGTCCATCATCTACTTGCCTCCCAGCCAGGTGGCTTCCATACCTTGATCGCATTGTTCGCGTCATACAAGGTTGTCAAGTAATGGGATTGGCAAACAAGCTTACTAGGCGGAGCTAGGGCTGGCACAATGCACACGCTCCTGTCCCAGCAAAGTATAGCGGGCTCGGCCATACCTCACATTGACGGTCATTTGAACAAATGATCTTACCCGAGCACTACGCGGCATGCAATAAGACACTCAACAATTCAAAGCCTAGAAAAAATGTGAGCAAAACAGCAACCAGTACTGTAAAAGAAGCTAAGAAGACAATGGCCTTCGCTTCTCAACATGGCAATACCAAGCTGAGAAGCAAAGGGCCTATATATACTCCTGGTGCAGTTTGTCGATGTGGCATCTCCCAGAGAAGAGCTTAAAACATGAGGAAGTCGCACTCGTTGAAATCTAAGTCTGCCTGTGTGTGTGTGTGTCAACCCCTGTGCCTAAGGGTTTGGATTCACCTGTTTCACAAGCAGGGGGCCAGCGCATGACATAACGAAGCTAGTGATGTCATGGGATGCGGTCAGAGACGTCTGACCGTGCACCTGCCAAGAAACTGCTGCTCACGCTGTCCAATCTCCCTTTTTGTTTCCATGGTGGTTCCATGATACCTCCCCGAAACCTTTCTTCCTTCAGCCACGTTCGACAGCCACGTTCAGCAGCCGCGCGTTTTCTGCAGTCATGTGCAAACAATGTTGAACAATACTTTTCCACGGACTCTGCCACCTTGCCGTTCCCTCGCCTTCCTTCTCAGCGTGGGAACTGAGTGTAACTGAATACCAATGTCAGAGTGTGTGTCCCATGCTGCGTCCCATCAATCTCAATTCTTGGTCAATGGCTGCAGTTCCCCAACACTGGGGTGAAGGACCTGACCTGGCAAGGTGTCACACGGCATGTCTGCTGCAATGCTTGGTGCAAAGTGTTATTATCTTCGTTGGCACTTCTTCTCAAAGAAGTTGACATAAACTGGCCCCGGCACCTGGTGACTCTCGTCCATTTCTCGGCCTAGCCTTGTCAAGTAGGATGCCTCGGCAAAAGCTTTCGTCATGTTGAAGCATACCGCATACCCCATTCAGCTTGGAAATGGCATCTTCTCAATTTAGCATGAGGAGTTGAACCTGCTGAACAATCTTATGCCGCTTCTTCCTCTTGAGGGCGGAATGCTCTGACAAACTGTCATGGCTCCCAAACCTTTGCAACTACCTTCGCACCAAATTGCCAGTAGAAACCTTGCATTGATAAGTTTTGTTTGTCAACGAGTCTCTGATCCGCCCCTCCTTTTCCGGCAATTTCCTTGAAGGTCCAAACTGTGATTTTCACATCAAGCCTGATTTCTTCGTAACTTGAAGCTCTATCTTAGAGTTTTCGACGTGCTTGCACCTGGGCAGGCATCTCCCGTTCGGACACTGACACTTGACAGCTCAGCTGGCGCCCTGCCAGATCCTGCCAGTATGCCATCCGTGAAATAGATTGGGCCATAAACAGTCCTCACAAAACTATGTGGAGAGAAGTCGAAGTCGATGGCAAAACCATGAGGCAAGAGATCTTCCCTCAATTCATCATGTAAGGCCCGACCGTGGGTGCCGATGTGCAAGTGTAGGACATTCCTGGCCAGTTTCAAATATGAATACAAGTACTATCCCTGGATGGCAGTGTTGAGGCGGCTCACACAGACACATAATCGTTCGAGAATTAGGATTCATGCTCACTTGGGCATTGATATTGCTTAGTTCCACGGAAAATGGATCAAAGCTCAAAGCGGAATCCAAACATGGTGGGTTCCCATCTCGCATCTCACCCCTTTGTTGACTTGTTCATGCATGCCTTCGGTACAGGCCTTAAATATCCTTAAATTATACTGCGTCCTCCTTCCGAACAACGCCAGGGACTTGCTTCGTTCAAGCCAAGGCTTGAGATCTTGAAGAGCTGAACAACAGCAGTTGGACTTGATCGAACAAGAACATCAAGAACTCAGCTGCCAGTAAAATGTCACAACTGTTCTAGCCCACATCCTTCTAATTCTATGGGGATCTTGAGCTTCACTCACCAAAACATGGTTCAACTAAGTGTCGACAAACGCTTGCTACCCTTGATCAGCTCCAGCTCCGCCCCCTGTATGTCAATGTGTAGCATGTCGATGCGGCCATACCCTTGGACAAGGGCATCGAGGAAGGATGCGGTGACATTCCTCAGGGTCAGGAAGATGACTGACAGGGTGTTGTTCCGAGAATTCTAGGGTCCTGATTCCAATTGAATCAGGGTCCTGATTCCAATTGAAGCAGGATGATGGAGTCACACAGTGGTGCTATACTCGTTGCTATACTTTGAGAAGTCACCTTTGTAATCTTTGTAATTATATATTGGTTTACTGTAATCATTGCTGTGATCAGATCTTGCTTTCCTTGCCAAAATGCTTGATTTGGACAAATCAAGATGCTCTTCAAAGATGGAGATGTTGCACAGGTCATAAATGTTGTTCTCCCTGAGGTGCTCCACTATCTTCCTCTTGGGGCAGTCTGATTCGATCAGAATTACGGTGCAAGAGCCCTTTTTGCCAAATTGCCGGCGAAAAGCCTTAGCAGCCTTCAGCGACCAAAAGCCAATAGATGAACCAACTTCGACATGCACAAACTCAGGAAATTCACCACTTCTACCCAGTCTCGACAGTGCCTGCAATAGCGAAATGGTTTCAAAATAATCCTCACCTGGAACTGGGCCCCAAGGAAGACCCCAACACTCCAGTTGCCGTGTTAGTTCGGGCTGGACTTGAGGTTCAGGCATTGACCCTGTGCCACATTTATGCCGAACACCAAGCCAGTCTGTCGCTAGCGTAGGAGGTCTTGTAGGAGTTTTGGGTTTCTCATGGCAAGAAGGGGACCAAGCCCTGATCAGTTCGTGATGAGCAAAACATCTCTCAGGCTCCCAAGGATTGAAAGCAGCGCACTGGTACCCAAGACCGGTGCAAATCGCCGTATGGTTTGCCAACATCGCGAAAACCTTCCATCTTGACACCATTAAATGGTACCACCTCAGGTAAGAAGGCCAGAATCGATGCATCGCAAGATCTTTGTAAAACTGTTCATCTTCTGGCTTCATAGGGTAGCGTGCCTTGAGCGACACCTCTGAACATGTCTTGTTGCTTCCAAGCTGTCCCTGATGCAACGCAACATCTGCCATGACAGCCATGTTCAGCATTGCCCGAGAACATCTGGTGAGGTGCTGCTCCATGAAAATAGACCCCTTTGGAAATCGGAGGAAATCCAAGCACAGTTGGTGTACATCAGTTGGTTCTGCAAATTTCAAGCCGTCCTGGAACTTCCACAGTTCATTCTTGAATTCATTGAAGTTTATCGTTTCGCTTTTGTCCTGGGGCCGCTGGTGGGGGTAGGTGTCCAAATCATGCAACCGCTCAGTCAAATGTGAAGCCCTGCAGCACAGGGTAGATGGTCTTCCTCTGCAGGCCTCCTTACAGTCCCATTGCCGTACACAGACTTCATTTGGAAAGCTCCGGCAAACATGGGCACAAAGCAAAAAAAATGCCAGGAGCAGCATGCAATCAATAACTTGTGTACTTTCCGGTGCAGCGTGGCCAGCTAGTCATTTGAACGTGTATATATAGTTGTATATATATATACACATAGTTGTATATTTTAAAAAACTGATTATATATATAAGTGGGGAGTCCATGCGTCCATGATTCCAACCAGAAGATACCAGAATAACAATTTCTGGCCCTTAGGTGTTGCTGCTGCTGAACTCCTCTTGTCCTACCCCGAACGCTTCACAAGGGTCACAAGGGCTCGGTTTCCAGTGCATCATGTAAAGCTCATCTGCACATGCCTGATGTGGCAGTCGGACATGAAATGTTTCCTCATCGGGTCTTCCCTTTCCCGGTCGCTTTCTGCAGCCTATTGATGGAACGCTTGAGCAAGGCATACGACCACAAAGCCCTTCAAGGACTTTGTGGGTTGGACTAATTTCGTAGACACCCTGAACGCGGCTTCATTGGACACAAATGTGACGACGGCTACGTGTTCAGAAATGCAAAGGAGGCTTACGCTTGCCCTGGACTCTTTATTTATTATATACACATGCCACTCACATGCC